AAATTTTTATTAAAAAGTCAAATAAACAACTGAAACATTTTGCCGTTCGTCTTTTATCTTCTTAAGTCCGGCCTACGGCATAGCAGTTTTTTTTAATTTCGTGTTATATAATTCCGAGTAAGCTATTCTCTCTGACGCACAAACAAAAATATTAAAAAAGTTATTCAACTATGAAATGTGTACGAATATTTGTAGACTCCGCTGTAACCTGTCGTAACCTTAATTCAAGCCTGCTGTTTCCGATTTCCTTTTGCCCACCCTTTACTCTTTACTCCAGACTGGCAATGCTCATGCGCCGCATGAGCAGCCGTATACCTGCTCCATAGGTGCAGTTAAAACGAATTCCTGAATACGACAGTATAAGTCACGGCCCGATTGTCGCCATATGGTCGTCAGTATGAGTGTTTTCGGATAACATTTATTCGGCGTAAATATTTTCCGTAGAACAAAAAAACCTAAACGACCGTGGCGATGCGATGGAAAAAAATTATTCGAGGTACGATCATAAACCGCGTAAAAGTGAACTAATTATCTCGATCGATATGTTTATCCTTCGTTACGCACATGAAAGGTCGTCGAAAGTGAATACGAAAGTTCATTCAATCCTTCACGTGTATTGTTACCTATGAATGACAATCGACTACGAACTATGCTATTTACGTGCTTCTACGACGCTTAGAATTCTGTCAATTATTAAATCGCATATCTGTGTGTATATTTAGAACTACAACTCACTATCTCGTAAACACGTTAACTGTCAAATCGACTGACTCCCGAGATTAAACTCAAACGATTAACCCATCCCTATTGTTTAGAATAAAAAGAGATATCTAATATTTAAAGAGAGTATCTTGCTTTGAAGAATGATTATTCAATCTTTACAAGCTTCCGTATCGACTGTTACTTAATTGTTATTGTTTTACTTTGGTTATTCAGCTGCATTATAAAGTATAGGATTGTTTATTACGTGATGGCTGACCTTAATACACGCCCTCTTATTAGATATCTCGATGACGTTTAGCCTTGATCATCCCCGATACGGAACACGGCTGAATGCGGTTGCATTCTCTCGAATGCATCCGCCATAACCTTAGTCTGACGTCATCGGGATGATACTACTTGATCGTGGACGTTCTACTGATTCTACGTAGGGAGATACCTACATATACTTGCTGCTTACTTATAATCGACAATAAGAAATTCTGTTGTCATGTTAATCGTTGGTTTTATCACAACTGACCCAGTGACTCCTCCCTCGGCGGTCTTAAAACATGACTCATTATCGCACTGCCGCTACGCGCATTAATGAAAAATCTGTATTCCTTGTAATAATATGATATTACGCGATTTGACATTAACTGGAATCAGAGCGGAAACAATGCAAGTGCACGCCTAGTCGTTTTTAATAATACATCTCATGCGTACACGCGTTCCGCGTTCGCGGAACAGAGAAACATGCTCGACAAACGACAGAAACAGTTTGTTTACGCGAGATATGGTTCGTCCTCTACGGTTTATCGAATCGAATATTATCTGGTGGTTAGTTATTAATTTTTTGCGATATGTTTTAGGTGCAGGCAAAGGGGCCACAGTGATGGAAGATCCACAAACACCTGGATCGGACTGCAACTCCAATCCTGCCACAGATTCCATCCAACATGACTTGATCAGCTCCGAGTTTGTGCAGGACAACGTAGAGTATCAATGGTTCATTGATTACGGGTAAGGTTCCAACCGATATCTATCTTTTGTCATTTCTAACAATTTTGTGTGTGTGCATATGTTACCCTGTATTAAATTTCAGCTACAGAGATGGTGGACTTCACGTTCATCCAAGTGTGTTGTCTTCGCTTTCTGCTTCATACTCTCGAGAAGATTTGGGCTATTATGATGATCTTGCCCGTAATTTGGATGCCAACTTGGCAGAGATCGATATGGAGAGTTTTCGTACAGCAGACATCCACACTTTACTTACAGCATTGCCAGTGATGTGCACAGATCCTGTCCAACATTCGGAAGTATGTTCGCTGATTGATTAGTTCCTTTACATTACATTGAGACTATAATCATTTTCATTGCGGACAGTTTGCAAGCAAATACAGTATGGATAAAACGGGATAATTTCTGTTACTATATATCTGTTTGTAAATATTGTCGTTTAATTTTCAAATGCGTCAAGATATTTCCTGTTTCTCTATTGTTTGTCATTTAACATTCTAAAATTGTTCTGTGTCTCGTTATCGTGGCAGTTTAACAATCAAAGGGAACGGTATGCCAGTATATCTGGATCTGTTATGGAAAAACTTGATATTGGTTCATCTATCAGCCCCCATACTAGCAGCCAGGTACGAGATAATGGCTGGAAATTGTCGGATTCTTTTAATGATGTTGAACTTAATACGAAACAAGTGCTGACGAGTGTTTCGCTTCACGCAAGAATAAAGATAAATTTGCTTGCAATTCCTTTGCATGATTAATCAATTCAAACTGATTCGTTAACATAATGTGCAAAAGAATAATAAAGATTAACGGAATAGACCGTCATTTAAGATTGTATGAGCCTTTAAATAAAAACAATCACGAACCACTCGAATTTTAACAGTTGTTAAATATTGCATTAATAAAATTCTGTGCAAAATTTTAAGAATTTTACAACGCTATTAAAAAGTTATTATATCTTGTCTTGTTATGTTAAATAACAACATTTTAATTTGATGTATGGAAAGAATATAGATGCAATGAGTGAATTTTGTAATTTTGCATAATTTTTAATACAAGTTTTATAATATTTCAGAATTGAAATAGTATCAATTTCAAAGATATTATTTAAGATATAGAATAAAAAGTGAAAATTGTAGAACTTGTAGAGTCACAAGTCAGGTATAATCCTATAAAAAGGTGCCAAACTGTTAAAAGAATGTTAAAAATTATTGTATATTAAGAAATACGTCGAACAATTTTATAAACATTACTTATCTGTAAATATCATTTTTCCTGGAAGTTTATCGCTTCAAATATTAGACATAGCTTTTTATTTCATAAACTTTTAGTAGACATCTTACGGCTCGTACAATCTTAACCAGTGCATGCGAACCAGGTGTATTAGTTCTGCATGATTTCTTGGGAGTATGCAGAATTTATAATAAAATCACACATTGTACAAAAGGGAGAAGACTCAGCTTGTTCAACGACGGACACGATTTCTATATGTAAATCGTCGCTGCTGTTCTCGCCCCTGAAAGAGACACCCGTACTACCACCGGGGGGTAGTTACAGCGTCGACTCTCTGGACTGCGAAGATATGTTGCTGACATGCCAAACGAACAACAAAGACAACTACACAATTGCTTTTGAGGGTAGTATCACGATGTATTCAGAAGACTCTCAAGATTTCGAAAATCAAGGTACAATAATAAACCCTTTTTGATATACAGTGACACCCATTAGTATCCAGACACGCTTCAAAATAGAATAATTTTTTTAATATTAGACATAAACAATTCCATTTTCTTTGAGATGCAGGTTTACTACGTAATGTGTAACA